CGCTGTGGATTGTATGGCAAGTGCTTTGGAGCATATTAGCTGGTAAATATGGATAGAAAGAGCTGCAAAATATTAAACATATTTAAATTAAAAATGTCATCTTGTTGTTTCATCTGACAAGCTTCCCGAATCCTATTACACGCGTATCCATTAAGTTTTTACGTCTACTGAGGTGAACATCTAATTTGCAAGAGACATCTTTGTATCAGTAGAAGGGTTTATCTCTGTATCAGTCTGTAATGTTGGCAATAATTAATCGGATGTAAATATGGCGAAACCGTATTCAGAGTTGTTGTACACATATCTAAAAACTTTTAGAGACTGGGATTTTTGTCAATAAAATATATGAAGCACACATAGAAAAATGTTATTAGAAAATGTTTATAGTTTACGGGGTAAGTCAATAGAGCAGACTGTGTTCATTGTCCGCCATCAGTGTAACGTAATTCAAAATGGATGTTTTGTTGTCCTTCAAAATCATGTGACGTTACAAATTTCGAAAACTAGCTATAATTAACAAAGTCAAAAACTGTTTACCTCATTTCACTTCTACCTGACTTAAAATGTGGTTATGATCATTATCATTGTCATTTTGCTTGTAGCGCTCTTTTGTGTACGAAGGTACTTTTCTAAATAAAAGAGTTGCTAGCAAGTACAAAATGAAACCGTAGTGTACAACAAAACAACAAAATACGGTTCTATCTACCTGGCGTTGAAAGACAGTTCAGAATTGTTTGTCACTTGTCGATATGACAAATATCACTAGATAGTCAGCTGTTATTCTACCCTAAAAGACAGGCCTATCTCACGAGTACCATTACGTGTTGAAGCCTACTAGGGTGAAGAGCTGATCAGCCAGTAATATATTTGCTTTAGTCTGTAACTATAATGAATCGGGTGTGAATCTGGTAAAGCTCGAGGCCGTATCCAGACGCGTTCTTCACATATCCAGATATTTTAGAAAAATGTTTATTGGAAAATTATTGTGGTTCATCTGGGATTTATTGATTACGAGGTAAGTCAATACATCAGACTGCATTATCTGTCATCAGAGTAATGTAAATTAGATACAGCTTAAGTATGCGCTACATTTATTGTTTCCCTCCCGCAAGTCCTATCAGCTGCCACGCTGTTTTTGTTTCTTCCTGATATTTTACGGTGTTCTCGGCAGTTAACCGACACGGGTATCACGTATCTTGAAAAGTGCCGATTTTTTTTGACATTATGCTATTTTTTTTGACATTATGTAGGTTTTTCTGCAAGATGTTAACTTAGCACTTAGTTGTACGTGTTGCCTAGAGGTCATGAGGCTTGTTATCAATCTTTGGCTCTGATATGATGTAAAATCTGCTTCTGAGATGGCATTACTGGAGGTCTAAGCTGTAAGTTGTATGTGTTGATGATAATTACATTGGGTTCTTGTCTCAAATACGCTTAATTAAGATTCAAAGCTAGAAATTAGTTGCGCATTCACTTTTAAAAGAAATAATTATATTCACTGTACACTGTCGAATTACAAGCCATATACCTGCTAACAGTAACTACACACAACGCGGGCGCGGAGATGATTTCCCGTATTTCTCCTCAGTCTTTCGTAATTTATAACTTTGAACATAACCTCTGTTCAGAAAGCAGAACATAAAAATAACCCGTCGGGCACAGCCAACAGATATACTTCATTGGCAGCATATTCAGTAATGATTTTCGCACACAGCAAATATCACTGATTTTATACACCTGCATACCAATACACATAATCATCCAGATGCGATCTTGCTATTCAACCAACTTTCTTCTCAGATATAAAAACTACAGACAAGGACCATTTGGCCTCACAAAACATATGCAACCAGTAATGCGTTTAGTTTGGTTGAGTGATTCCTCCTTAGATGGACGTTCACAACGATTCTAGTGAGCAAACGTGAAATGACTGTTTTATAGGTTTTTTACATGATACCCATGTCGAGCTTGTACTCACGACCACTGTTTTGTCCCAATTGGGTGCATTTCGTGACGTCCTGCAATAGTTGCACATTTCACATAATTGCTAACTTGTCTATCACTTTGCTCATATACTGCCACACATTTTGAACTAACTGAATGGCTGTTTCATAGCCCCTTAAAGCCATATGTCGTTTCAACTTCTGAAAAACAGAGATGATTAACATAGTCGAAAACTGTTTATATTATTTTATTTCTTCCTGATCTGTAATGTAGTCATGATCATTAGTAGCCATCTTACTTGAAGCGTCCTTTGCCCACAGCTGCTGGCCATAGATGATGTCGTTTTTCAACATAATGTCCTTCAAATACCAAAGATTCCTGGGAATCAATATAATTTCTGTTTGTTCCTGATATTTTTTTAGTGCTTGATGTTTTTGGAGGGCATGGTGGACAGTAGTTGCACTTTGCCAACTCATCATAGGGGCCGTCGTACCCCTGAACCAGTTGCACTTGTATTTTTCTCTCTATAGGCATATGGAGCATGTAATATTAGTGGCTACATACGATGGATGTTGAAGGTTGACTATTTTATGATTATGGTAGAAAATCTTGCAAATGCTGTTTTGCCATATTCGCTACCACTTGGCGATTTCACATTTACACAGCTTTGTAATCGTTTCATTAAATCGTTATATAAGGTGATTGATTCTAGAAAAGTGTGACTTTCTATACCAGCTGACACTTTTATCTATTACATCGTAGGTCAATGTATCTTTCAACATAAGCAGACTTACTGGAAACAAGCATGAATCAGAAGGTGTGGCACATACGAGTACCAGCCAACGGGAACACTAGAAGGACTGTCAGACTCTCCAGACAAAGATTGGAAGATACGATTGAGTATTAAAAAAGTAAGAAGAAGTCTGGTACAGTTTCATGCTTCCAAAGTACAGCTCATCTGGTTTCAACGGATAGCCGAGTTCTACCAAAGAGCCATTTGTTTCGGCTGGTCGGAGTCCAGATCATCGAGGACTTAATCAGGCCCGAACCTATCTCGTCAATAGCGGCAGTTGCTAGAAAAAAGCTAAGCTATTTGTTTAGAGCTAAGAAGTCGTTTTCTCCACATGATCTCCTTGGGGTGATGTCGCCGACTAAATTATTCATGCTCGTTCCTATTCAGAGGATCGATGACTCCTCTCTAACTGACAGTCTCGGAATCATTTCGTGCTCTGCTCGCCAGAGCTCTCACCCATGATACCGCCGCGGGATGTGCCTGCCAGGCAGACCCGAAATCGCACAACTGTCATTTTTTGTCGGCGGTTAATTTCTTGAAAAAGTAAATCAATTTGACATTGAAGAGTCTTTTAAAAACCTAAACCATATTATTACAGGTAATGATTAAAATAAGCCAGCGCTATTGACGTCACCGAGTACTCGTACTCGGCCAAGTACACGGTATTCGGCTTTCTTTAATAATGTCGCACTCGGTGCATATTATTAAACAACCCAAGTTTTTATTACTATTAAATAGCAATTACTACATTTTATAGTTGCCTGTTCCATAATAGTTTGACGTTTGCGAGTAAACCTAACACCACTTACGCTTTGCTTTGTCTACACCATTGTACACATTGTATGTCTTTTTCATGAAAATCCATTACGGGTAGAATAAAAGCTGATATACGACCAGTGACACAATTCTGACTGTTCTGTCAACACCAGGTAGACAGAGCCATATTTTGTTGTCTTTTACTTCCCAGCTCACTGGCGGGGAGGTATTGTAATGGCGAAAATTTTCGAAAATGAGATATGGTTCGTGGATGATATAAAATATGACATCTTCATCACTACAAACCAGCTCACTCATTGCTGTCGGTCTATCTGTCTGTTGGTCTGTCTGTCGGTCTGTTCGCTAATCTTCTATAATTACCTCTATTATAGGAGCTTGAGAAATATCGGTCGGATTTCAATGAAATTTGAATTTTGTTACACTGATGACAATTAACCAGAAGCACGTGTCTATATTATTTTTACAAGTAAAATTACTCACAGATGTACTATAATGATCTTCTGATAAACGTTTTCCTATACCTCTATGTACTTTGTATATTTCATTGTCGAAAAGTACCCATCTAGATATGTTAACAACGGTCCCAAATTTTACCAAAGTTACATTATTGCCAGCACACACACTAATACAAATATGCCACTCACTGATCAGGTTTTTGCCTCAGTAGACGTCAAAACGTAATGGATACTCGTGAAATAGGGTTTACGCTGTTTATATTGTATACGAATTGTCTAGCTCAAAGCATAGACAAACTATACGTATACGTGTAAACGCCCTTCACTGCCCAAAACATCCAAACATACGAACCAACTTGTCTGTATCCGAGTAGATATTTAATGATTTAATGCTACTTTTCTAATAAAAAAGGCTCAACATGAGATTCACTCGAAGGTGGGGGACTGTAAATAACGATGAATATTTGTTGGTACATTATAATGACTGCTTCATAGTTATTCAATTAAGAGGCACTCTATTAAAGATTCATCCCCAACTAGCAACAAACGGAATTCTCTCCATGAGTTAGCTCAAACGTGAAACAGGACAATTGCCATGAAAACAAAGGATAAAGTGCTTGTTAAAATAAATGAAACAGCTCTTAGTAAAAATAATGATATATTTCACTGCGTATAAAGTAATGCCTAGCAACAATTACAACAAATAATTATAACAACGTGTTAACTATAAAATAAAATGAATGGCGCAAAACTATAGCCCAATTACATTAGGAACTATACCGGCATATGCACAGGATATGATATGTTCTGCTAGTTATAATACATGACATTATGTAGGGGATTTTGGGATTTACTCGAGCGCCGCAGATTAACATGAGGAGAGACACCTTGCATCCTGTTGATTACATCCACCATCTGTACTTGGGCCACGAATCATTTATTTTATACATATTGGATTCACATCCTGCTTTAAATATTGCAGTGTTCAATTGGCTATTTTTAGGACGAATCCGATAACCAATTTGATATAAGTGCACCGAATGAAAGAAGCAACATATGATAGAAATTGGAAGTTTGGAAGAAATACGTGACAAAGATACATTAATAGTCAAACAAGTTAGCATTCTATAGATGAAAGTTCAAGACGAGTTTAGATAAAATTGATAGAAGCTTTCACAAACCAACAAGTTGTAAGCTAAAAATATATAACAAAAATATCACTTACTATAAATAGTTAGGTACTAGAGTTTCCATTCAGTAAATAAAAAGCACCAGCCATTCGATTTAACACGTTGACTGCGTTGCGAAAAAACGGCACTATTTTTTCAGTGCGATATAAGTCGCCAGGGACCGATAGTATGACATTATTCTGACACGGTATAGGTCTTCGGAGACCGATAGGCAAGCGTTTAACTAAAGCCCTCTAACATTTTATGTTCAAACCAGAATCGAAAAATAATTGCAGAAATCTGTAAATATATTCTAGGTGACGGTAAGTTTGGCTCCGTATAAGTCCCTGACGACTTATACCGCATCAATGGCTAGATGGATTTTAAGCATACATATAACACTTATATTCATTTTATTTCAAATTTTGATATTTTACCAGTAAAACCAAGCAATATATTTCAAGAACATAATATTTAAATCATAAATGTGCTGTTAGATGAATTTATTGCAACAAAGGTTATTATTATGTGTGTAATTTATTGAAGCAGGGAAGACACATGCCAGGTTTTCCGGGACAATCTTCACAAAAACTTGTTACTTTGGTGACTTTCTTATTTGCTTCACGGCTGGATACAGTTGTCCGAGGGTTTTGATAGCATCCTCTACAAATCTTCCTTTTTTTTCTTCCTGGGCCAGTTGTTTTTCTGAAAGTGTGAATCCTTTTACGTGTTGTTGGTTCGGAAACAACTGTAGGAGGATCTCTTAACTGTTCCGCTAAAGTTCTTCTAAATTCGGTTATTGACATTTTCTTCTTTGAAATCCGATTGAAAATGATCCAGGCATTTACGATACATGTTCCAAATAAAAATTCATTCATAACTTTTCTGTACCATTTTAGGCCTCGACGTAGAACCGAGTGATATGAAGACATCTGGTCACTATAATCAACTCCTTTTTTAGCTTTGTTATAATCTGTAACACACTTAGGCTTTACAATATGTTCACCCTTTCTTGATTTTTTTCCAGTTGCTTCAACAGTGCTAATATGAGTAGGATTGGTAGTCAGCATTAAAACTGGTCTTTTATCAACCCATTTTATAATTTTAACGCACCCATTTTGTTGACCGTACGTCTCTCCTTTTTTTAACTTTTTTTGGAAAGATTTTGGGATTCCTTTCCTATTTGCACGTAGTGTTCCGCAGTAGACAATTTTTTCCTCATATAGTTTTTTTGCTAGAGGCAAGCTGCTATAAAAATTATCTGCAAAAAGATAATGCCCTTCTTTAGCTTCTACAGATTTTAGAAGTTCTAAAACCATCGTTTCTGAATGCTGTTGGCCTTCAACCTTTTCATTTTTTCCAGTATATATAATAACTTGGACTGTGTATCCATCAACAGCACACAATTTATAAAGTTTGACACCATACTTGTGCGTTTTATTAGGAACATACTGGCGAAATTTTAATCGACCTCTGAAAGGAACCATAGACTCGTCGATAACCAGAATTCTCCCAGGAGTCAGAACATTTCGAAAATTCCTGTTAAGTACCTCCAATACGTTTTTGATTTTGTACAACCTGTCGTTAGTATCCAAAAATGGGTCTTCGTTGTTGCAAAAATGTAAACATCGAAGTAAAAGGAGAAATCTATCACGTGGCATTGTCTTTGCTATAAACTCATTTCTGAACATAGGATCTTTTGACCAGTAGAAATTAACTGACGGAAGTGAGTTAAAACCCATTACTAGGATAATTGAGAAAAAACGCATGACTTCGTTTTTATCTGTGTCCACCCAAACATTTAATCTGGATTTTGAATTTCTTCGTCCTGTTAAGCTTTGTTGGGCGTATCTATTTGTCTCTTCAACAATGTCTTGCCAATTATTAGTATCTAGCCCAACATGCGGCATATTTCCTTTTTGATCATCTGTGGTGTCATTAGCTTCATTTTCATCAGCTGTATCCGAATCGAAATCATCGGCCTCGGCGGCACTGCCTGGATGGAAAATAAAAAAAATAAAACTGAAACAACAGAAACAGGCATTGTGTTGGAAATATCTATTACCTTCGATTGTATCATCAAACAGATTATGTGGATTTTCATCAGAATCCGACGAAGATGGGTAATAGTCTTTATCTATGATAGAATCATCACTCCCAAAGTCGGAAAATTCATCTCCACTTGTAAGATAATTTCTTCCAGGACTATTTATTTGATTTTCATCGTCCGATGACTCTGCTTCAATGATTTCAATTTCATTTTCAGGTGTATTTGTTTGTGTGTCGACATCTGTGGGCAATGCTCCAGTATTTTGTAGATTTTTTGTTATTTCCATGATTTTTTAACGCGGGAAGAAAACATTTTCGGAGAGTAAATCTAAAACACAACTTCATCCACTCGAATTCGGTACACAAATGACGGCGAAACAGGATCGAACGCGTTTGTCCGTAAGATTATGTATATGTCTCTGGAGACCTATACCGACGTCTACTAATTATTTGAATCTGTCTGTGCGGTGTAGGTCTCCGGAGACCGATATCGTCATTATTTAATTTTTGATGCTAACTACAAGTTGTGATGATCTTATAGCTACATGTCTCGCTTTTATAACTTGTATAGTAACGAAAATATGCATTCCGCACCAAAACGAATATTTGAAAAAATGAGCTCCGCATTACAATGAAGCTTGATATCGGTCTCCGGAGACCGATATCGCAGTCAACGTGTTAACGTCGCATGTGCTTTCTTTTCAACTGCCTGTTTGGAGCAGTATTCTAAATCGTTTTCATCTGATTATTTCATGGTATCTATAGAGATAACTTAAAACAGTGTTATTAATTTTTGGGCCAATAATTGCAATTTCTGTGCATTTTATATATATAAGGCTTACTTCAACCGTAACTTCTTTACAAATAGTAGTACAGCTCTGAAATTTTATGCCAAAATTCCATTTTTATAGTAGAGTAGAGTGCGTGATTGCTTTTCTCCTTATCACTTTTAGTCTTTAAAATATCTTTGATTGCCTTGAAACCTCGTTTTGCGGCAAATGGAGTTTTCAGGAAAAGCAAAATTCCTTGAAAAAGTTATAAATAAAATAAAGGTGGAATATCCACATAAAATTTCAAAGATGAACTATGATATGTTATCAAGCTACAATTGAAGAAAAAATGTATAAAAATGCGCAAAAAAAGATTTTTATACAAAAATGAAACTGATAACATTGTTTTTCCACTCATCTCTATAAAAACCATGAAACAATCAGACAAAAAGTGAAAATGGTAAGCGACGTTAACGAATGCTTATAAGAATACTACAGATAACAGCAAATGTGAATAACGGAAGCACATGAAATATTTTCAAAAGCAACTCAGTAAACTATGTACGAAGCATTGGGAAACAGAGATTAAGCTGTTGACTTCTATGTACGAATGATGTGAACATAAACAACATTACTGACTCCAGGTCTACGTCGTACTTATGAGCCCTAATAAGAAAATACTGACACCTCCTATGCCCAATGGACATTGCTGATATCGACAAATTGAGCTGTTTTTTCCGGCCACAAATTCTCCTAAAAGTACTGGGCTATATGCAAAAGTATTCAGTCATGCTCAAACGAGGTATTTCAATGCTGATGATGGTGACCATGGTGATGCTTGGGTACGTGATGGAAAATGTGCTTGTACACAGGCACGTATACTGGGTAAGGTTTGTCCACATATTCTACATGGTGCTTCTCAACCTCAATTTTGACGGGTTTGTCTACGTATACGGGTACTAGCTTCTCAACGCTGATCGGTACCCTCTTTTCGATCTCTTGTGGCACCAGTTTGTAAATGGGCACCGCTATGGGATGTGGTACCGGAATGTGGACAGCATAGGGCTGTGGTACTGGGATTTTGATTACTTGAGTTGTGGGCACGCCAACTGGATGAGGCACTGGTACTCCTATCTTCTTCACTACCTGTTGACCGTTAAAAGGATATTATATAAAGTACTGAAACGGAAATGATTTAAAAAGTCGATACAATGCTTATATAACAGAATTGCCAATCAAACAACAACAGTTCCTGTGAATATGACCTTTAAATTGTTCTCCCATGGATAACAAGCTAATGAAAGTTTCTACCTAACCAGAATTGTATAAAGCGAGGCTCAATATGAATTAAATGCGCATCCTGTGACGTAACATCCGTTCAACCTCAGACACCCTGATCAAAACTTAAAAAAGGTCATAGTTTAGTTTGAGAAAACAATTTATTTTCACAAGTTCATTTTCACCCTATTAAAAATCGGTACTTACCCGAAACATGACCCTTGTATATGGAAAGAGAGATCTAAAAGTATCAGACATATTTGAAAGATATTAGCGAAAATGCTATAAAATCACGAAAGTGGAGGGACAACAAAAGTAACTTGGTGATAAAAAATTTAAAATGTTTGAATCTAAAGAACATAGTATTGTCAAGTTAATCATCACAGGTGACAAAGTGGGCTATATTATATTACCAAAGGACAAAGCTGAGTCTGAGTTTTAGAAAATGAAAATCAGCCGTTTCAACAGAAAGAGTCGCGGTCAGGTGGAAGATTAATGATAGTGCCCTTTTTCAGAAAATCCGCAGAGGTACGCAGACGTATCTTAAAATATACCATCGTGTCACTTTTTTGACATTATATAGTTGTTTTATGAGGCATTATGTAGGTTTTTCTACAAGATGTTACTTAGACCTGGCAGTTTCTCACTTTATGTGTACTCGTTCTGTAGCTTCACGTGTTGCCTAAATACTATTACGCTTTAGCCATCAATGTTTTGCTATGATGTGATGTAATATCTGCTTCAGAGAAGGCATTATTGAAGGTTTGAGCTGCAAGTTATATACTATATCTGGAAGGAAGCGCCAGTGCATACAGCAAAAATTTGTGTATTAATAATCTGTGTTGATGATAATTCCCTATGTTTCTTGTCTCAAATACACTTACTTGATATATATATATGCTACATCCTGGAAATTATAAATGCAAATTCCCTGAATTACAAAAACGAGAGAGATAAAAGAAGAAAATCCCTAGTTGATGAAGTATGTTACAATTAACAGGTGAGAAAATAGGCTTCAAGCAGGAATATTTCTGAAACGTGAAAAGGTTATCACTTTTTACATTATATTTTATTTCCAGTTATTAAAATTTCATAGACATTTATTTGCGTTTATTTGCGTTGTCAAGTAGAAAATACAAATCAGCGCCTAGATGAGAGAGAGAGGCATTGCAGACATTTTTTGTGTAATGCGTTATTCCTAATTTCTCTGAGATGTGGCTTAATTACGCATAACGCAGGCGCGGTGGTGATTTCTCGTAATTCTTCTCAACGTTTTTTAAAACGCAAAAGACCGAGGTGAAAGGTAATTTATAATTTTGAACATACCTCTCTTCTGAAAGCACAACACAAATAATCCGTCTGGTACACCTAACGGGCAGCATACTCAGTAATAATTTTCCCACAAAGCAAATATCTCTGACTTTATACACATGCAAACCAATACCCACAATCACCATACAATCATCCAGATGAGATATTGCTAATCAATTTTCTTTTTGTCACATTTTTTCAGAGATGTACTCTACAGTCTTTCTCGGCATTTTGCAGCCAACAAAGCATGCTGAGGAATTATTTGCACACCAGGGAACTATCTTGTCAGCAAGTTGATATTTTGTCTCTTTTTTTTCTTGGCAGTAAATAGGTTTTCTACTTAACAACCCTGCCGGTTTAATGCAACCATAGCAAATGAATTTCAGGTACTGCACACAGGGCGTCTCTCTTGGGTTTACACTGTGCAGAAAATGAGTTTCAGGCTCTACGCATGTGGCATATCTCTCTCTCTCACTCTCTGTTGCTGTCATCAAGACTGTCATCTACTCCAGCAAGCAGAAATATTGGATAATGTTAATAATCCACCGAGTAATAAATCTACCAAGCGTGGCAAAAGCTGAGTAAAATGCACAGGATATGTTGTCATTTTTCTGTGTTCTACGCCCACTAGATTTTCGAGAGCCACACCATACTTGGCGGCAGGATTAGCTACATACGAATACATGTATCCCTTATCCTATCTGTAGTCTTCGTGTACCAAACATTGTATTGAATAAATGGAAGACAGTCATAACTAAACCGTCAACAATGCCAAACTTCACTAACCTGGTAGTGTACTGGCTTGGTATGCTCTATCGTCTTTGTCGGTATATGCTCATGTTCCACCTCAACTTTAGGCTTCAAATCCACATGCTGCTCGTCTTGTTGCTCATGTTCCCCGACTTGAATTCCATGGCTGGCTAGATCACCTAAATTACCTCCTTCAAAACTGTGACCTTGGGACTCGAAACCTTGACCTCCGCTCTCGTGGTGTTGGTGCTCGAGGCCTTGACCTTCGAGACCGTGGCCCTCTTGACCCTGAAAGCTACCTGTGTTGAAGGAGTTCCATTGGTGCTGGCCTATGTCACCTGGAATTAAGTTCTAGTATAAGAAGTAGGTATATAAATCTATAGGTTTGAGAAAATCTAACATATATCTGCCATGGAAGATGCAATGATAATTTTGGAAGCTTTGAAAATTTTGAAAATTTTGAGCATTATAAAAGGTTTCAAAATCATCGGAATTTTAACAATAAGTTTGAAAAAATAGAACATTCTGATAGTTTTAAAAAATATATGAAAAATTTGGGAAATTTGGAAAGTATCCAAATTGTCTAATATCTTAAATATGTCACAAATAATGATGCAAATTTTGGTAGGTACCTTGCTCCAATGGCTACGTATAGTATGTAGCTCTTTTTGAGCTAGATACTATCAATAACGCCAAGTTTCAGATATTAGTCCGTTAAGGATCATACATCGTATTCTAAACGTTGCCCAATAAAGACGTTTTGTTATTTTAAGTTATTTTTAAACTACAATCCTAACCAATAACCAAAGTCAAAACGGTTTGCCCTTTGCTTTAGTTGTTAGTTTGTGTGTTGGTTGAGGTTTTGATGAGTGTTTCGCAAATGCTGAGACCCAATCTTACGAAGGCTTAAAATTGACGTAGTACGTCAGGACATCTAAAATGAAGTTTGACAAAACGCATTTTGTCTAGTTAACAACTTCACACGCATTATAACGAACAACAGGTTTTGGCTGCAACCTACAACATATACGTCGGACATCGGACAATACCTGCTATCTGACATTTTTTCCCAATTTGAGGTATATGCACATTTTTCTTCGTCTACCTACAGCGCACATTGTGCCAAAACAATAGCTACCACTGGCAACACGTCTTTCAATGAGCGGCAATTCCAGCTATCTGACAATTACGCGTGCTATTTTTCTTAACTTTGCAATGAAACACGACGTTGTGATCTCTCGAAAATATCTCACACCCAAATGGAATGTGACTCTGTACACAGTTGCACTTAAAGAAAACTGAGGAATAGAGTTATTGAGTTACCAAATGACTATGTTAAGGCGTCAAAAGAAGCTAGGACAAAGCCAGAGCCATATGAGGTGATCCAGTTGAGTCACGACTTCTTCAAGGACTACTCTCGAACAGAGGTGCAGCGATACCCAACTTTTAGATCAGGCAGGGACAATGTAGTCACGGACATCACAGTACCATGTTATAATCCCGATGGAAAAGTGAAACTAGACTTCACTGTAGAGCCTCAGGAGTTGTCTATGAGACCAAAACAGCTACTCGTCATTTCAGATTATAAGTGTTATATCTAAAGACTGTCACATGTTTTACGACAATTTGCCATATGTCACGGAAAAAAGCTGAACGTTCATTTAAGGTGTAACTGAGAATGCTATTATCTTTTTGATTTGTAAAAGCATTAAACTTTTAATTTGATATAACGAATAACAATTTTTGTAACACGAATCTTACTAAATCCATCTATGCATCATATAGTACAGTATCTGCTAAATGCAAAGAAAGTTAACAGAAATGTCAGCTTTCTGCATTAATTTTGTCAATTAGAGCTTCATTCGGATAAAAACTCATCAAATATGTGTTAAACGTCATTTATTTTTTGTGACCAAAGCTGTAGAGTCTTAAGGCCGGTAGTATAAAATTGATAAGATTTTTTTTGTCCCCTGTGAAATTACGGTTCCTGCATATAGCAGGTATTGTCAGATGTCCGACGATATAAAGTACTGTATAATTTTGAACGGAACAAGATTTGAAACTAGACGTCATAACAACTTCTACTAAGTCCAAAAAGAGCTATCCAATAACACGCAGGTGTGGGAGTTTGGTACCAGATTCCATGCAATGTCTGGCATCATCTCTTGGAAACTCCTTTGAAGTACTAAGAATTTGGAAATATTAAAAGTGTGAAGATCTTGGGAATCTAGTGACTTGGTTTCCTTGAAACTTTAGAAATTTTGCAAACTGGAAAATCTGAAAATATAAATGCGTAACTTTTGAGTAGTTTCCAAATTTTCTAGTCCTTGAGGGCTCAAGTATCTTGTATATCTTGTAAAAACTTTATGACCTTGATGTCTCGGACACTTTGAACATCTCCATAATTTTGAAATTTTTCTAGAACCTAAAATAACCACTACCTACCCCCACCCCCTTCATTTTCTCCTCCACCCAAATGATGGGAGAGTATCTTCGCATGTTCAGCAAACTCTTCACCCTTACCCCCTCCACCTTGACCGCCTTCCTCCAGTCCCCTCTCACTGTGGATCTCGTTGGACTCTCCCTCGTTGTGCTCTTCGCTGCTGCCTCCACCATCGCCAAAGTCGTTTATGACTCCCCCTAACACCGCCAGAGGGCTCAACGCCACAGTGGTCCAGATGAATAGCATGTGCTGGACCAAAACAAAATAATATGGTTGTAGAGTTCTGATAAGGAGCTTGAAAATGAGGTATCAGATGACATCCCATTGCTTTCAAAAAGAAAATGTTCCAAAACGACAAGGATGAAATCGCTTTGATACAAAAACTCAACATATTCTTCAAGGTCTTGTAGAGCGTAGAGCTAGGTTTTAACTTTAATTTAGATACCTGACGACAAAATTTATATTATTATATAGCATTGAATATACTTTCTCAGTAAAAACTGTCGATAACTGCAAGACATGATGACAATATCTTCATGGTCCCAAGCCAAACATCTCAACTTAGAAGCTGACAACTGCTTCGTTTTTTCCTTCGCATGGAAACGCCTTGGATATTTTCACGCGTCATTAGCAAGTCCATTATTTAGCTGATACGATGTTGGTGTTTATCATGAGGAGCCCTAGGGAGTTTTCTGACTCAGTTCTTACAGTTCTATACAAAAGTTATGTACGCAGCAAGTTTGAGTATGGTGTCTTGATTTGATACAAACATTATGCAATACATATTAGTAAAATCGAGCGTGTTCAGAGAGAATTTTTGAAATATCTACTCGTACATTTTAAAAGTACAGTATATTTCCTGAGTGAGGATTTGATGACTCTTTGCTGCTCAATGAAACAAAATTTGTTTCTCTGAACTCAAGGCGCATTTTTTTAAGAACAGCATTTACGGTGCCCCAGCATAAATAGCAATACAAATTTGAAAGTGTTTTATTGTGAATGCGTTAGAATCAATATTTTGACTTAACCACATGTTCTAATCATCTTTAGCAATTTTAACTTAATAGTTAGCATCTGTGACATTAAATTCTCTCATCTGTCGCCTGTTTACAAGTCAAGTCTGCAGATTCCATTTAATATGTACCTTTCTCGACTACTCTTTTAGTTATTCAATTGATTATTTTTATACCATAGTTGTTCTTTCTTCCTTCGATTGACTTTAACCATACCAGGTTATTGGGTGCGTACGTGCCTGTTGGAAATAAATGTCTATCTATCCATCTATCTCGCGGTAACCCAGCTTAAATCTGTTGAAATATTTTTTTTAAACAAATCACAGTTCTTTTGCCCGGACAATTTTTCTTCGGATTTCTTGAATTATTCTGAATAAAAAAGGTTTCTATTAACTTTTCTCTAAACTAGGTCATTTTCGAGTCGATTTTATGTCTGAAAGGCCCTAAAAGTGATATATTCAATGCTTAATCGGTTAAAAATCATATTTTTTTCAAACCTTGGCTTGCAAGACCTCGATGGACATTTTGGGAATGTTTTATTTTGAAACCTTGTCTGTTAGGCAAGAATTAGGAAGTTTCCTATAGTCGAAAATATTGTCTGTGCTACTTGCATCTGATAATATAACTAGTATCTTTGACAAATCTGAAAGAATTATTCCAATGGCTTTAAATTTAAGAAAGTTATGGCATTTTCTGTGTTGGCTGCTGTAGCCGATCGGCCTCGCGCGTCAAGATTCGGTAGTGACGTTACAAGGCGGATCGTCCCACGTCGTAGTGAAGCGGTCGGAGGACACGGCGGCATATCACATACATCCTTAGTGCTGAAGCTGACAAGACTTAATTTATTGTTTGAATCTTGGCGTAGACTGTTGTATGCTAGTATATGATAATTAAAATGGAAAAAGGGTTTTTACATGCCGATTCCACAAATCTTTTTAAGGTGCACATAATAATGGCAATGAATTTCTTCACAAACAATCCACTTTATGCCAGTACGGAAATACGTAAGTAACTAAAACGTATGATTTATTCTATACAACTCTGATAACGTGAACCCATTTTTTCAACCCTTTACCTGCGACTATACCATACTGTGGATAAAAGTGTTTTGAGTCATCAACTTTACGTAGGAGGGGTGTCATTGGTGTGGTATTATGGATGATCTTACTTGGCTTTATTAATTTAATAAATAGAAGAAAACGAAAACATGCTATGCATGCATCAAATAATTTAGGATGACCCAAACTCCAGCGAATACGTTTGATAAATTAATAATAAATTCAATATCGCGCAAGGACAAGAAAATCAACTGTATGAAATGAAATTTAATCCAACGCCAATAGGACTTGATGGCCGTCCGGTGTTTGTTTGTTTCAGATTTATTTAGCATTAATGCTACAATGTCCATATTACATAGTATATCACAAAATATATTATGTCTTCAAGACTACATATTTTTATACAAAATTTCACTACTATGAATTCTGGTTTTCCATTAGATATTCTTTCAATTTCCCTTTAAAAGTGACACACATCTTGGTATCATTACTTCACAGAATTTTAATAATTCTTTCGTGCTACTTCACAAATGCCAGATTATCTACTATTGGCAGTAAACTAAAATTCATAGAAGCCTTTCAGATGATTCCACATTAAGCCCACACTTGACCGACGCCTGTGCGTTTGAACAGTGTTCCCCCTACAGCCACAAGATAACCTCTATACAAATACATTATCTCGAAATGAAAGCAATAATCAAATCTATTTCTGTTCTCTTTTAAACCACCTAGATTCTTTATGTTATCATGCTATTTACACAGACTAAGACAAATAATAATTAGCTAAATAGCTGCTTACATCAAAATGAGATTCATAGCAAAACAACGTTGATGTTTCCGACGGCGGAAATTTATCGTCCCTATTCATTACCTTGCACCACTTCTTTCTAATACTTCCCTGTTTTGGTACACAAAAAAATGTTTATCTGGAGCTGATATTATAGTATTTGTACACATAGGTACAATAAAATATTTGTAGGTTGGAGGTTTGACCCACTTTTTACTCATTGTTAATAATAGGGGGAAGCGTGTGTGGCGGGCGCATCTGCTAGCAGTGGTGCTGGGCTGATAAGCTTCCGTCATGTGACGTCATCGCTCACTCGCCCGTCCTACCACACGATTCTCCAAATAATAAACTTCTGACTAGCGTAAGTCTGTTATTTTTCAAGATATTCAAAAAAAAATTTCAGGCTGTACTTCATTTTACTTAGATTATCGCTTTAAGTATCTTTTGAAAAATAGGAAACTTCCTCATTGGCGCACTTTTAGTTTTCGCAGACTATCAATCTATTCTGTTCCGAAAAACGCACCGAGAACAGCTTATTTTGAGGTGCCCCAATCTCATCTCTACTTATGTTGTGCTGGTGCATTAGCAAGCCATCTGTTTGGACTCCATAGAAAGGGCATTCAAACAATTTTTGATGTTCCTTACAGAGGCGATTGCAGGAAAGCTTTCAAGAGCTGGGGAGTCTTAGCATTATGTGTTTCCTGGAGAATTTGTTGTACGTTAAATGCAACCTGTTAGAGTCTGAAATGCACCAGCAAATTCATGCAGATGGTGTCAGAAATAAGAACCTGCTCGATCCAGAGTCTCTTGGGCTAAGAACGTGTCAAGATGGCACAAGTTATTGGAATATAAAATTTTATACTAGACAAAGATACATTAACAGATAGTCCACTGTACTGTATAGACGAATATCTTGACAAAACCGTTTTAAATTTTACTGAAAATTGTGAAAATAAGTTTAAACTAATTTTATACAGGATACCCTGAAAGTTGGGACATTCCTTTTGTAATAACAAAGCTAATGTATCGTGAAACAACAGCGAAAAGTAAAAAAAAATATAGGAAAAAGTTCATCGAAACAAAATTTCAAGTAAGCTCTGTCAGTTGTAATATTGTTCAAAATTGTCTGCCATAGATTCTCAGACCCATGCATGTGCTCGCCGTAGCCAGTCATCAGCGAATGCTTTTAGAATGGGCTTCCTTCCCGAATGAATACAGCTGAGCTAAATTCTGACGCGTGGTTCGTCAATAGTGTTGACTTCGGCTTTATAAACATTGTATTTAACATGTCGGTAATCTCTAGCGGTTATCTTACTGAAAAATCTGCTTACTTCTGCAAGATAAATACGCCGGCGCCGTGTTAAAGAAAGTCCAAACTTTGAGAACGCCCTGTATAAGCTTATATATTTCTGATCCTGTTAGCCTTATGACAGAAGCATCAATAAATTGATTTTGATTTATTTTTTTAATTTCTGCTGGCTAACTTGACCTATTCAAAACATAGGGGTGGGTGTCAATTTTTGAAAAGCGCTGAAAACATGTCTTATGCCAATAACTTTTTCTTGTCAATGTACATGGTACCTAATATGCTGCTTCCGCTTTAATTTGAATACATCAGTCAAGCAACGAGCTTAAGTGATGTAAAAGTAGTGAATGTAATAATTTATCAGCGATTAATTAGAATTGTTAATTGGTTTAAAGGCGGTTATTTAACTTTTTTGCCTCCTCCCAACTTTCCAATATTATATCGGAAATTATAACTGTTACGGAATAAGCTATATACAGATATCGTCTTTATTAGCGGATTACTAAAAAGAAATTAAATACAAATATTCGTATAATTGCAGTAAACATGCCAATTAATTTTTAGTCTTGATTATGACATTTTTAGATTCAATGTTCGATCCACATTAATTAACTAACATTCTAACAGGTCAAAGTAAGTTTGCGGATGATAGATTAGTAAGCCTCATTATTTAGGACCTACCTTTTGACTGTTTCAGTATAAAACAGAACCTACAGCTAAATAATACTAATTCAATGACGAATATGCAAAATTAAAATGTCCGGCAAAGCTGGAATTACGCACGAACTGTGATTCTGCAAATCTAATTTTCCAGTTGTTAGTACAAATAATTATGTGAACGTATAATGTATAATGCACTGAACGATAATCTGCCTATCGGTGATAGTAATAGTTATAAATCATAGCAGCAGATTTATAAGTACCAGTAAAAAGAAACAGAATGAAAGTGCCGTTGATATCGGAAATATTCACGTTACACTTTTACTCTTGGGTATTTACTCCACTTTTTCTTATCTTAAATCAATTTTATTAATTGAAAGCCATATTTAGGCTGGTAGTTACCAGACAGCTGTCGCTTAATACAA